GAGCATTCATCCATCATCTGTTCTTAACATTTCCAATAACAAGTTGCTTAGTGGATTACAAGACAGTCCTTTCCATATTGTGTAGCTGTTAAAAAGATCTTATGTTGAGTTAAAATCTCCTTCCTTCATTTTACCCATCATTCTGTAGCAACACAGAAATTCTGATCCTACTTCCATGTATCAATCATTAGATATTAGAAAATTCCTATCATGTTTACTGGATCTTTTCAGATTAAACATTCTTAGTTCTGTCAGTCATTTTTTTGTTCCCAAGGTTTCCAGGGTTTTCACTATCTTGGGTCGCCTTTCTTTGCTTAATCTTCCTTCTAAAATTCCACCCTCAGAACTGAGTACAGCATTTCTGATGGATGAAATATAAAGTGACTTGCTTTTAATATTTTAGCTTTTTACATCTTATGTTTAATAATCTACTTGCCAGTCACTGTACTTCCTGGTTACAAGTAGAAGTCTTGGAGTTGTAATAAATATATAAGTTGATTTTAAAAGATATGAATCAACCGTTGCCTTCATAATCAGATGCTTCATTAATAGGCCTTTTTCATTCTTGTTTTGATCTTCCTGAAATCAGATATACTATTAAAATAAGTGTGTGTACTTAATTAGAAGAGTAAACAAATGTTGAACAAATGTGTGATGGGGCATTTTTGAAGGTGAAGTGCTCTTTGATGAAGGGATATTGCAGAAGTGCTCTTTGGCAGTATTTAGGTAGTTGTAGAGTGAAACAATGTTTTGAGGAGATAGTGTAGAAATATGAAATATGAATTTGAATTAAATAAAATTTAGTTCCTTAGTCATATTAGCTACATCTTAGTTGCTCAATAGCCATATGTGGGTAGTGGCTACTGTATTGAATAATGCAGATATAGAACATTTCCTTCATCTCTGGAAGTTCTGTTGAACAGCACTGCTCTAGAGAATTGGGACAACACCTAGGTTTAGCCTACATGGAGGTCACTGTATCCCAGGTGACTTTCTGAATGTTTGTAACCTATAGAGCAGAGTACCTTTGTCACTTTTAAGAAATAGTGTCCAAGGGAGAGTGGACTCTGGTTTAAACATATAACTGACAGCATTTTAATTCTTACAGACAGCAACACAAATTGGAATAGAATGGAACCTGTCCCCTGTTGGCAGAGTCACTCCAAAGGGATGGAGAGATCAGTAATCATCCCAGCTGGTTTAATACTGAATTGTTTCAAAACCAACTCATGGATGCCAAGTAAAAGCACTGTGTACCCGTTAAAATATGGAATGATTGAGAAAATAAAGTACATTTGAAGCCTTCATTGTAGGTTTGTTTGTTTCTTTTGTAAATGAAACCAAGCCTGATCACTTTTCATTTATTTTACCTTTGTGTTAATGTTAAAGTCAAAACACTGCACTACTTCTTGAATAGCTTTTTTCTATTAGGTAGAGTGAAAGGAAAAATCTTACCTGGATGTTGACTTTAGAGTAGGCTGAAATTATAGTCCGTGAATAACTGGTCACAGAGTTATTTTAGGTCATCTTTGAGTTTAAAATTTGGTGTGTATATATATAAATACACATACATACACACACACACACACACTGCTTTTAGCCTTTGATTTATGTTTATATTTGAAATTGGGTTTGGTCCTTTTACACCTACCAAGAGAACTGAAGGTGTCATCAGGCTTGTGGGAAGAGTGGTCCTATCAAATGAACTCCTAGGATGTCTGGAGACTAACTAGCTCCTTGGCTCCCTTGGCACATTTAATTAGAGCTTTAGATTTTTCAGCATATTTATTTAAGATGTTTATGATGTTATTAAAGAAAGGATCTGTCAAATGTAGTTTACTTTCGCCTGTGTAACTACTAGTGACCTCTGCTGTTGGCTTTCTGTAATTATACCAACTTCTGGACTTGTGGATTATCCTGAATTCAGTATGACTGGATTTTATGTGTTAAGATATTAACTGAAGAAAACAAGGTATCTACACCATGTATTTCATTACTTCCTTGGCCAAAGGCTGTGAAGTAAGCCTCATAGTGGTCTGTTGATAGTGCTCAAGTAAGCAGAAAATGGAATTTCAGTTGAGTAACCTATCTGTATTGGCTAAATGAGAGGTTTCTAAAATTCACTTACCTGATGCTATAAGTTATCAGGTAAGTGGCTTTTAGGAATCTTACAAATTTACCTGATGTAGATAAGGAATTAACCAAACATGAAAAATGTTTACTTTTTACGTGAAATACTAAGAATGCCTTCATGGCAATATGTCCTATTTTCTCATTAAATGCACCAAAACCAGTAATTTCATGATTTAAGTAAGAAATGATTTGAATGTCATCACAATATAAGTAGGTTACAAGATTAATAACTATATAGTAGTGCCACTATTTAATAAAACTTCAATACTGTATTTTGAAAGAATGTTAAAATAGGACTAAAGTATTCAAATACATGAAACCCTGCGACACGATTAAGCAAAATAAATGTAACAAAGTTTCAACATTCCCTTTTTGTTACTGAGTTGGCACTGAGAATTTCTAATGAGGTAATTTTCAGTATGATTTGTACCACATCTGTCAGGTAAGTAATAATTGTCAGCTATTATGATAGGCAAAAATAAATAGTATGACATTTTAAAAATGTCTCTGTCCACTTGCCAGCGTATGTGTTGCCTTGTGTGATAAAACCTGGTGGTGTTATTCAGCATCTTTGAACATACTTTTAAGACTTAATTTTATGGTTGATCTTGTCCTGATGAGTAGTTAACAAAACTATCATGGCCACTACCAGAAATGAAGCTGTAGTTTAAGTCTAAATTATTCTGTGTCATCACAATATTCTGACTTTGCAACTTTCTTAGTATACTCAATCAAACTTTTGTCCTCACAAATGCACTCATCCTGTGACACATCACTTTGAGAGTGAAGCTTGTCAAATTAGTGTTCCTATAAAAAATCTGAAGAATTTAGGTAAGTAACTTTAGAAGCATTGCTGGTCCTTCAAATGTTAATTATTGGGTTATGAAGTATTTTTTAATTAGGATGAATGTCTTAAATGCCATTCTTAGTTTGACTCAAACTTATTTGAGTGCATGTGTTCTTTTAAATTCATTAAACTTAGAACTAGGTACTGTGGTAGCTGTAGAGGCACAGACTTTGAGTTCTCACACTCACGAGTATTAACTTTATTGGTAATACTAACCATTTAGTAAGCATTTTGGGGGCACCTACTATCTGCTCAACGTCAGGAAACCTGATTACTTCTTGAGGACATTCCCTTCTGTTTGAAAGCTCAGTTAATTTAAAAAGTGTTGGTATACTCACTCATTGATAAGGGAGATTAGGGATGATTGATTTAGAGATGAGGTGTTTTAGAGTGAGGGAAAAGGCTCAGTGACTAAGGATGTAGAGGATCTTGCAGCTCTTAATGATATACTTTACATAAAAACTAGAGAGCTAGTAGATTTGATATTCTTCTGATAAAGGTTTATTTCTGGTTTCTACCTATTAGTGAATTTCTTTGAAAGCTTAACACAATGTTAATATTGTAGTTACAAACCAACTTGCTAATAATTGGAAGCCCACTTAAAAGCCATTTCTTGTGATGTGGTTTTTAAGATTTAAAATTTGGGGCTGAATTTGGATCAACAGTTAAGGCTATGCACATTGACAACTACAGCTTAATGTTCAGAAAGGTAAGGAGTCCTGAAGTGAATTTTTTTATTAATGTGGATGGATGTAGAGGGGCAAAGAATAATTGTTTCTGGAATACTTAATTGTTGGCCTAAAATTTAGATCTGTGGACAGTGTTAAGTGTTACCTGTCAGGGCTTAATAGGGATTTGAACCATGATGAAAATTATTTTATTAAACACTTAAGTAGACATACTGTGTGCCACTTTTCTAAGCCTTTTACAGTCTTAAAATAATATTTACACTTTGCACTGTTTTGAGTTCTGCAACATTATTTGAGTTTATATTCTTAATGGGATCTGGGTTTAAATGAAAATATGAATAATCCTGTGATTAGTTTTCCCTTGCATCTTATGACATATTTAATGAAAGGATATATGAAAACACCACATCTTGCTTCAAAATTAGTGAGATGAAGCCCCTTCCTTACTCTTAATGTTTATAGTTTTAAAAATTCTAGGATTTTGCTGTTTTTTGAAATGACAAATTGGAACAGGAATAAAAATAAATTTTTCTTAAATGCTTTCTGTACCACCTACTTATTGCATTGTATTGCTACATTTTAGGCATCTCATTTCTATCAAAACTCATGGTAATAGGTACTCTAATATCTTTGCATCCTTGGAATCCTGTAGGTTTTTAAGATCATGGATGAGTGAATGAGTAAATGTGGAAGTGGTTCAGAGCTTGGAATGGCAATGTGAAGGTAGTGTGAGGTGAGATCCCTGCCCCAACTCCAACACACACATAGAGATTATGAATTTAAAAAATGAATTAAAAAACATTTATCAAAAAAAGTTGAGATCATTTTTCAGTGGAGGGATGAGGACAAGTTCATCGTTCTGGCATTCACATCTGGAGTTAGACTACACAGTCTAACAGAAGCAGGCTAATTTTAATCTGTGAAAGGCTGAATTATGTAGAAGATGATTTATAAGGAGCTCTAAGGTACATTCTGGCTTGAGGTTAGGAAAACTGCAGATAACAGGTTTTGATGGAGCTTTTGTTTTTGGTAAGCGAGGAAGAGGGATCTCTGCAGCGCCAAAAGGAGACTTCCGCCTGAGGCTGCGTGTCTGTCCCAGGGCAGCAGGGGGCGGGAGAAGCTCGATTCTAGTCTCAGCATTTCCCCTTCACGTGACGCGTCCCTCCGCCCCTCCGGCTGCTTCCGGCTGGGGCACCACCCGGAAGTGGGGGGTGGAGGCAGGGGTGAAAGCAGCCGGCCCGGCGGTGGGGGTGGAGGAAGGGAAGAAGCAGAGGGAGGAGTTGGCGTCGACGCCGCCGCCGCCGCCGCCGCCGCCGCCATCGCCGCCGTCGCCATCGCCGCGGTCGCCGCGGTGACTTCTCCCGGTGTGTGAGATCGGAGCCTGTGCGCGTGTTTGTCGCTGCCACCGGCTGCGTAGCTCCGAAGATTTAACCATAGGATAGAAAGAAACAGGTAAGTCCTATATCGGCTTCCCGTCGTCCCCTTCTACTGGACGAGTATTCTGTACTGTCAGCGTGTACTACCGAGTGTGGCGAGAAGGTTATTTTAATATGGGGGAGCCTTTAAACTCAGTTCTTCACAACTCAGGTATTTATTGCACTCATGTTTTACCTCCCCTAACAGGGAATAGAGGAGGGGAGATTTCAGGTCCTGACCCCTGTCGCTTTCTTGTACCCTTCTGAGGAAGTGTCCTGATCATCTATAGCCTCTGTTACCTAATTGAAGGTACAAGATCTGTGGCCGGTATTGGAAGTCACGTGGACTGATCACTATTATTAATGAAATAACATGAGGAAATTAGTTATTTTGCTTCTTGTCTCGCTCTGGGAGCGTAAACTAAATTGACTGAACACTCTTGTTTCCATTTCATTCTGTTCATTCTGCTCCCTCCCAGTAAAGTTACTCTCCATCGTCATTGCAGCCTGTGGCATCTTTATCTTTGACACTTTTTGTTGTAGACGTTGAGGTTCTCCTAAGCATAGGCAACTATTTTATCGTTTCACAAGTTAATATTTTTCAGCATCTGATCTTTGTTTTAATTATAACTCTTCATCTACAGTAGATGAGACCTGATGTGTGCAGAACATTGAATTAGGTGATGTTGAGGTGTGGGGGATATACACAAGAAATAGCAGAGAGTCTCTGGCCTCAAAAGAATTTGCATTCAAGTTGAGTTCAGACATGAAGACAATGGATTCTAGCAGCCCCACTGATTGAGTAACTAGGTTGCTTATCTCATCCTTTTTAAAGGATATTTTGAACTGAGATTTTATTTTTTATCTTTCAAACTTTCTTGTTTCTACACTCATGACAAGAGAAGGTTTTTCTTTTTTGTACTAAAGTGTCTCACAATTTAGTAGGAAAGACAGATAAACCCTTTTAATCTCAATAATGTATATTAGAAACAGTGTTACGAGAATTCTGGGAATGGAGCTTTTGAGCTGGGCCTTGATAAATGGATAGGATTTAACTTTGCAGGAATGGAGGTAGGGGAGGGCAGCCCAGGTAGAGAGATACTGTGAGGAACGGCTTGCAGGGCTGGAAAGATGCATCCAACAATATATTGTACATCAACATCTCTAAAACAGCCACATCTTCCAAGATGTCACTGGTTAAAAGAAAAAAAAATAGAATTAAAAACTGGTAAGCTTACAATCGTATCCCAACCATATTCCAGCTATCTTCCAGCCAATAAAATAGCTTATACATAGGAAAAAAACCCATGAAGTAACAAAAACAGTGTTAATATGTGAGATTTAATTCTGATGTAAACTCAAATATGAAAAAGTAAAGCTTGCTATATTTAAATTCTGATTGAGTGTCGTGTCTTTGTTTAATTAATTAATTAATTTATTTATTGAAGTACAGTTTACAGTGTTGTGTCAGAGTGTCGTGTCTTAAATATAATTTGGAATCTTATTAAATTGGTAGGAATGAATAACAGCATTGTCTAAAGGCAGAAGGTGTTCCAGTTTTTCCCCAAGGAATTTCTGCATTTCCTTTTCTCTTCCAAAATGATTTCTTTACTGTTCTTCTTAACCTGATAGAAACTATTCTTTTTCAATCTTAGTCTTAGAAAGATCTTGATTCTTGGCCTTTAGGTAGGGTTAGATTAGACACTATCAAAAGGATAGGTTAAAACGTCTAGTCTCTAATGCAGAAGATTGTTTTTCTTTGAACAATTCATGCAGAAGCAGTAAAATCTGTTTGAAAATAAGAGAGAGCAAGCAAAAATAACCCCAGTAACATACCACAACCTTTACTTCTGTGAGGGCTTTAAGGCAACACATTCCTTTTTATAAATTCCTCATTATAACTGCTTTTATCTATATATTTAAAAAATACTTGGCAAACATTAATCAAGACTTTGACCCCCCCCCAGTGAGTGAAAATAATTTTCTTTTGCCAGATATAAAAGTAAATTGTGAGGAGAGATTTGTCTGAGGTGATACAGGCACTGGCACACATGAGAATAGTATTTGGGAGTTTTGTCTCAAAATTCCTTCTACTCATCTTTGTTAAAGGAAAATACAACTTTTGAAGGTTTTACAGAATTTTGTTTTTAAACAGAAATCTTTCTTGGGACATAAATCAAGATGAGGGTGAGGGATGGGAGAGACAGGCAACAGTCAGGCCTGTTTCATTCAGTCTGTCATCCCAGCAGTCATGTTTTTCATTTATGAATCTCAGTCTTGACATTGATTTAATATGATATAACTTGCTTACTTGCTGAGATAGTATGGCAGGAATAGTGTCACAGTATTTTTAGAATGTGTTTCATTAAAGTGAAAGGATAGGATGTTTCTGGTTTCATAAGTATGTTCCTGGTTTCTCCAGCACTGTTAGGAAATTGATTTCCTCATCTTTGTGGGCTCAAATGTGAAAAATATTGGTAGATTACATCAATTTTCACAGATACTTCTTTCCTTGAAGAAAATGAAGATAAAGTGAGTGAATTAGTTGTGCTTTGTCCTGTGTTTTCTGTCTATGTTTATAATTATACAGCTGTGGCCGAAGGATTTAAATTTTTTAAACCTGTTTTTACTTTATAATTCTCTAGTATAGAAGTCCAGTTTTCCAGACGTAATCAGGAATGCATTTTGACAATTTACTAATTGGAATAAACGGGTTATTCCACATCTTAAGGAAATTGTTTTAGCCTGACCAGTTACCTTAGTTGATTTCATTTGTAAAAAATTAAAGTGTTTTGTTTTATGCTGTTGTAATTTTTCCTGATCTGTCTTGTGCATTTGGTGTCCTAACCAAAGCAGATAGGGAGGGAATAATACTGAAATTACTCCTTTCCTTACCCTATCCTGGGTTTGCAGAGCATTCTATGTTTCTTGGAATTACAAATAAAATTGTTTCTGATCTTTTCAGTGTTCACCTGAAGCATCCTACCTGCCATTCAGGAGAGGAGGGCATTAGAAGGGCTTCTGTTAAGAGCTGAAAAATTGTCAGTAGAGATAGACGAACAGAGAGGGATAATTCTACAGTGGAGAGCCCTATTAATGAACTTCTCAGGATTTAGGATTAATTTGTAGCTGATCTCTAGGGTCATGAGGACACTTAAAGGTTGTTCTTTGAGCTAACAAAAGCTTAGGGAGCTTAGTTGTTAAAGAGTGCCAAGTGTAATTTCCTTTGTTGATCCTTGCACTTAAAATGGGAAAAAAGGTGTCTAATATTTTGGTGATGATGAAATTATTTGCTCTAAGAGTTCTAATTTAAGTATTCAGTTGATCATTAATCTAATAGTATTAAACTAAAATATAAAGTATTGTATTGATTATTGATAAATATATTAATCGTATTATTAAAACACTAATATTAATACTAAACTATTTGTATACAGCTAATTTCATTTTGGCCAATAAATGCTTTCTCTTATTTTGCTATATCATTTCACTGTTAATTCTAAATAGCACTTTTTAGTTTAGATTTATAGTCACAATATCTTGGTATTAATTTCTAATCACAACTGTAAGTGCATTTTTATGTATTAGCAATCAGATTGGTGTCATACTTTTTAAAGTATTGTCCGTCTAAAGCAAAGTGTTTTATCTTGCTCATCTGTTTCTATCTAGGTGATAAAAGGAAGAATTTTAGTCATGAAAACCTTCATAGCCTTTAGATAGCTTTAGAGCCTTAAATTCATTGTAGATAAAGTGTAATAGATAAAAGAATAAATTATTACTTCAACTTGAGTGTGATTAAGATTGTCTAATGAGGATGTGGAAAAAAGGGAACTCTCATACACCGTTGGTGGGAATGTAAACTGGTGCAGCCACTGTAGAGAACAGTATGGAGGTTTCTCAAAAAACGAAAAATAGAACTACCATATGACCCAGCAATTCCAATCCTGGATATATAACTGAAAAAAATGAAAAACACTCATTCAAAAAGATACATGCACCCCAATGATCATAGCAGCATTGTTTACAATAGCCAGGATATTGAAGCAACCTAAGTGTCCATCAAGAGATGAATGGATAAAGAAGATGTGTATATATACAGTGGAATATTACTCAGCCATAAAAAACGACATTTTACCATTTGCAACAACGTGGATGGACTTAGAGGGTATTATGCTAAGTGAAATAGGTCAGAAAAAGACAAATACTGTATGATATTACTTATATGTGGAATCGAAAAATACAATTAACTAGTAAATGTAATGAAACGGAAACAGACTCACAGATATAGAGAACAGACTAGTGGTTACCAGTGGGGAGAGGGAAGGAAGGGGAAGATAGGGGTAGAGAATTAAGAGGTAGAAACTACTATGTATGAAATAAATAAGCTACAAGGATATATTGTACAACTCAGAGAATACAGTCAATATTTTATAATAACTAGAAGGGAATATAACCTTTAAAAATTGTGAATCACTATGTTGTAACACTTGAAACTTACATAATATTGTATATCAACTATACCTCAATTAAAAAAAAAAGATTGCCTAAAAGTTTGTGCACTGTGATTATTACAGAAGTAACCCATGAATTCCTGTTTTTTAACTTTAGGGCAAGTGGTAAGTCATGGGATTTTGAGTCTTTTTTTTTTCTTTTGTGCACATAAGTGAAGGAGGCCAGAACTGTTCCTCTGTCTGGTGTGAAAAAATAAATCTGGTACTTTGTCTATTGTTTGCACTTTGGTAGGAGTTGACATATTCTTTCATAGGGCCAAATTTTATTCTTAGACCTAGCAAGTGGCTAAACTGAGATTTAAAGCCAGTCAGTTTGACTTCAGAATCTATGCTCTTACCTAACATAAAGAAACTGTATTTTTTAAAATAATTGTACCTTAAAAATATATAGACATATGAGCAAAATTAAGTCTATTGAAATTAAGTTCCTTGTTTGTCCTAAAGAGGAAAATACTATTTATCTTACTTGAAAGTGTGAATGAGCAAATTGATTAGATGATTAAAAATTAAAATATTGGTAGTTCAA